TGTGGTCGCGGACCATCACAGCCAAGGGGACGAGGAGGTGATGGAGCGATTTATCAAACTCTAAACGAACGGGTTCCTCGTACCCATACTCTCTGGCCTTCTGGAGGAAGGCCTCAAAATTCTGGCGACTTAAATCGTCAGCCATACCATCAACCCAGCCGGCAAAATGCCGTGTAATTGCCTCCATGTTATGCTCAGCCAAAATGTCAAAACGTCTCATCGATGGCTCGTATAAGACCGGGTCGGAAGGGGCAGACCCATTGAGTGCGAAAACGACGCCCGCGTTATCGCACTCGTCATACATTTGGTGCCCCTCTACCAAGCGCCCAAAAACGGCCGCGTTCTGGCAAACCCCGTAACACTCCAAGTGCGCAATGTTGGGCCACTTCACTATGGAATCGTCGAACACTTCTGACCAATAATACCCTGGGCCCAGCGGCAAGAACCCGCCGGCCCCCGAAAGTTTCCCTTCATCCAAACAGCGGCAGGCGTCGCTCATCCACGACAGCAACGGCCCTTTCAAGTGCTGCTTGGCTGCCATCATCCGACGGCCGGGCGACTCCCTCAATGCCTTGATCCACCAGTCCAGGTGCTCAATGATATTGGACGGGAGCTTCACCCTGTCGCCACGGCGACCGTAAGGTGCTCCCCAGCGCTGGGAGAGCACCTTGAAAAACCTGTTGAGGAACAACTTCCCACGCGGGATGCCAAACGCTACCGACACCAACGTGTGGACGAGGCGGTTGAACTCTTCACGCGGAGCACTGCGATGCTCGCGTACCTCTGCCAGCCAGGCAATCAAACGCGCTCGCTTATCGTCCGGGAGGATCACGACAAACCGCTTGACGTCCTCGATGAACCCGAGCTCGCGCAGGCGCTGCCCAAAATTAAACTTGTCGGAGTCGACGCATCCGTGATCTTAACCAAACCGTCGCCGCTCTGCTGAGACGTCCTGATGGCCTCAGCCAGCTTGGAGGTGACGTGACCAAGAAAAGCCTCCTGAGGCGCCTGCGGGCCGCTCGCGAACATTTCGATTATCATGCCCTCTGTCATCCCGATGTCTGAGATAATCCGTTCCACCGCACAAGCTTTGACGGTAGAATTATAGGCGTCGCCGGCAACCGACTTAACTCCGCTTGCCAGCATTCTGATGTACTGCTGCTGCTCCGCCTCCCCGGCACCACCGAAGAAACGCGCAAGCATGGGAAACTGCGCAATAAGAAAACAATAAGAAAACGCCCTTTCAAACTGTTGTGCTCCTCAAGTGTTCGGACCGCGCTCCGAGGCAACTCTGCAAAGCACAGTTGCTGCGACTGCCCGCCAGTCCATGACACGCTGATCATCCCATTGCGGTGGCCCATGACATTGACCTCGCACCACTTACTATTGATATTCGCATACACCGTCTTCGCCAGCTCCAACCCAGGCGACGCCGGCGGATCGACGACCTGCGCTCGATACCGCGCTGGCGAATCTGGGGCCGGGCCCGGAGCCGGGGCCGCTGCTCGCTGCTGGTGTTGCCCCCCCCCGGGAACAAACTCTGTTGCTTCTGCTGACAAATGTGCCCCGCCTCCCGGCTGCCTCTGCCGCGCAAAATGCTGTGGAGGCGGGCCGGTTGCCGCCACTAGCGCTGGCGGCGCCGTCCCTGGGGCTGCCGCAAGCGCCAGCGCTCCCGTACCCGGCTGCCCCCCCTGCCGAGGAAGCTGTGCTCCTCCCGCCCCGGCCACTGCTAGAGCCGCTGCTAATGGCACTGGTGCCGGGGCTGCGGCCTGCGGCGATCGCTTGTCTAGCTTTGCGAGCACCGCTGCGAGCTGCTGCCGAATCCCAGCTTGCTGCTGCTGAATCTCAGCTTGCTGCTTCCCCATTTCATCTTGCCGGCCCATCATCATCTCGAGATCGCGTTTGCGGGAGGCCTCTTGTTGCTCATCTCGCGCAGCGAACATGCTTTGGACCTGCGCCATAGTAACAGGAGCCCTCAACTCCTTGTCATTCACCCGAAATTCACCCTCGACTAAGTCAGGTGCTCGTGCCTCGTCACAAATCGATAACTCAAAGCCCGCATCTGCAGCCCGGCTCTGAACAGCTTGCGACAGCGCCGCCACAGCTGCTTCAAAATCAGGGAAAACAACCAGCTGCAAATCATTCTCACGCACGAACTGGTGCACCGCTCGACCGATGTAAGCCATCTGCCGTCCTGGCGAAAACTTCCGCACGTCTATGGGGAGGTCCCCCCAAAATATCACAGAAGCTACCCTTTCCAGTACCCCTGGGAAGGCGTTGCGGTCGGGCTGGTCATCCGCGAAGCCCGCGGCCGCCGCGAAAAACGCCTCCAGCGCGGCCCGCGCTGGCAAGGCCTGCGCCTGTTCACTAAACGGGCGCCCATGCAGCTCCGGCGGGACTGGGTTGGATATAAGCATGGCCGCCGCGTCCTCAGCTACTCTATGCCCCCTTTGCCCAGAAAGAATTTCGCCGGCGGGCTGCTTCAGCAACATAAGAGCATAAGGAGCGAGTATCGACTGAGCTGCAATAATAAATAACAGCTCATTCTCTCTCTCTCCTTTGGGCGCTACTTTCCTGGCTAATCGAAGATTACCTGTACCGATTTCCCGTTGAAGCTGTGATGTCAGAGGGGGTAATTGCGTCGTCGCGAGCGCTTGGTTCTCTTACTACCATTTCTCTGCTGGACTGAGGCGTTTTTTGGAACCGTCTCCTTGTGATCTTGATGCGGGGTGTCATGGTGCTTACGATTACTTGAAGTGTTGAAACACCTGTTTCTTTCCAAGAATGGGCATTTCCTGTTCTAAGCCTGGACGGTACAAGCAAGCAACTAAACAAAAGAAACCTAGGCTCCGTCGTTTATCTAATACAGCATCAGAGGTTCGCCGCGACGTAACCAGACGCATATCAAGAATTGGGCTGACGATCTGGCAAAAAAATGCAGTCTTGGATCCAGCATCCGATTTAAGTAGCTTATTTGATGGTTTGTGGAAAGAATCTATCAGCCCCGACAAAAAAGTTCGTTTGTCCGCAATGAATTTGCCGTTCATAGTACAAAAAGCCATGGAAAACACAAGAACCTGCATGAAGATAGCGGTCAAACATGGCGGATTGACGATAAGTCTCGACTTGGGACTAGTAAAAACAACTTCTGACCTAAGATTTGGTCTGGAAGACGTTTCCATGATCAAAATACTCGGCTTTTCCTTCCTTACGAACACTATACCCGCTCGCGGAATTGGAGGTTCTTACCAATACGTCGCCTTGCAAAACGTGAGCGGCAGACTCTTCAAGTTAAATTCAGAATTAACTCCTGAGCTCAAAGGTACCCGAGCAGCTATGCTTCTATATTACCCCACGCAAGCTTAGGCGACTCGCTTTTTTTGAAAGAAAGGTGTGTGTTTCAGCCAGAGAAGATTCAAGCCCGCGTATTCACATTGATGTTCGAACGTGCTGGTCCTGTCACAAGCGCTGACCGTGACTTCGGCGTCCTTTTGTGCAGTAAGAGGAGGAGTCGTCTACGCTAGGACAAAAATTCGCCGAGTATGAATGGAATGTACGCTCTGAAACTAAAAACCAGGTGCGATCGTGTTTCCTCTCCGATGATCGTACTCCTCAGAGTATTATAGCTAGATGTCACCTAGGTGACAACCAAGCAAACGATTGAAATGCAGCTTATTACAAATGTGAATTGTCATTGACGGAACTGAGCGAAACGACGGCAACGTGTAGAATTGAGCGTTTTGCTGGCAGGCTCGCCTTTCTCTGTCGGGGGCGTAGGGGGGATTTGCGAAATAGAGCACTTGCAGACTCACTTCAAATATTTCACGATGAAATTAATGACCCTCTTTGGGGGCATTGTATTTTTACCATGTTTCAGCTGGAAAGTGACCTCGAGGGGGCAGTCAGCATGCGAGGGACCCAACCCTGAATGGCAAACCCCACCGCTGGGAAAGCACTCGGAACAGTGAACCAATTCAAGATGTCGTGTGGATGCGGCGACATGATATCGGCTGACGGAATAGTCTATTTTTGAGGAGGCCAAGATTGGGTCTGCAGATAGCGGCCAAACATGGCGGATTGACGATAAGTCTCGACTTGGGACTATGGCGGATTGACGATAAGTCTCGACTTGGGACTAGAAAAAACAACTTCTGACCTAAGATTTGGTCTGGAAGACGTTTCCATGATCAAAATACTCGGCTTTTCCTTCCTTACGAACACTATACCCGCTCGCGGAATTGGAGGTTCTTACCAATACGTCGCAAAACGTGAGCGGCAGACTCTTCAAGTTAAATTCAGAATTAACTCCTGAGCTCAAAGGTACCCGAGCAGCTATGCTTCTATATTACCCCACGCAAGCTTAGGCGACTCGCTTTTTTTGAAAGAAAGGTGTGTGTTTCAGCCAGAGAAGATTCAATGAAGATGATGCCGAAGCTCTCCCTGCGCCAGACCTCTCTTCTTTTTTCTTCTTCATCCGCCTTTCTTTCTTCTTCTTTATCAGCCTTATTTCCGTCCACTTGGCCTTTCGTATCTCCCACTAGCCCTCCTCCTTTCTTTCTCCTTTCCTATCCCAAAGTACTGAGATCCTCCCTCCCTGGCTAACGCCAGTAGGTCAGTCCACGTAACTCTCGCAGCTGCCCCTGCGAGGGTTATGGGCCCACAGATCGTATAACTCCAGCGAGAGTTACGGATCTGGCTCCTTGGCTCAACCACTCGACTCGCGCATTTTAGCAGCTGAGTCCCTCGAGTAAACCTCGAGTGTGGTCGAGTGTTCTTTCCACCGTTTATGGTAAAAGAACAACAAGTCGAGCAGGACTGACATTTCAATTGATAGGCGGACCCCTCAGACCAGAGAAAAACATTACGTATTTCTACCGTCAACCGAAATCGAAGTATGGCTGACCCACATGTCTTTTTTCAATCTTGATGAAATATGACAACACCCCTCAAATACTAATTTTAATATGGTATAAGGAATACTCTATATTAAGAGGTATAATATGGAACAGTGGAAAACTATTGAGGACTTCCCTAATTATGAAGTTTCAACTTTTGGTAATGTTAAATCAAAACGCCGAAATAAACTTAGGTATACATCTAAAAGTAAAGATGGTTATTTACGCATGGATATGAGTGTATCAGGTAAGAGCAAAAAGAAATTAATCCACAGACTTGTAGCTTTAGCATTTATTGATAATCCTGAAAACAAACCATTCGTTGATCACATTGATCATGACAGAACAAATAATAATATTTCAAATTTGCGATGGGCTACTCAAAAAGAAAATCAAGCAAATGCAGGTATGTTTTCTAATAATACCACAGGATTTAAAGGGGTTTGTTTTGATAAACGCAAAGGAAAATATAAAGCACAAATTTCAATCCAAAATAAAAGCACACATCTTGGTTGTTTCAAAACGCCAGAAGAAGCTTCAGCAGTTTATGAGAAAAAAGCCAAAGAATTACGTGGTGAGTTCTATTGTGCCACAACTGTGTAAAAATGATACCTGTTGAAAAATGAGTATAAGGACAAAATAATATATATATATTAATTAATATGATTACATTGAATGATGAAAACACACAATTTTACAAATCTCTTGGATTACTGGACGGTCGCAGTAAAGTGCCAAAATTCAAGAAGACCATTTTCAAGAAAAATGGGGAACTACGTAAAAAGTTCCAAGATAAAGTTGATGAATACCAAAGTAATCAACGACGAGTAAGACGCCGTCAGCGTCTCATTCAAAATTCAAATGTGAATGGTGTTGAACAACCAAGTGGAAATTCAACTGTGCGTATCATTCAATATACAGGTGAGTTTGAACGAGACCATGATACATTTGCCCGTAATCTTATCAATATCATCAACAGTGAATACAGGAATGCTTATCGAGTAATTGTCACAGAGCCTTACAGTGATCATTCAGGATCTGCATCAACAAAGGTTCTACAAGAGGCTTTTACTGAAGAACATTATTGGAAGTTGATTGATGATTTGAGAAAGTATGGAGAAACAGATTTGAGCTCTCTTGTTTACACCGTCATGTATTATGATGTTCCAACGGGTGGAAGTGGCGAGATTCTACCAAAGTGGTTGAAAGACAAGAAATGTGTAAAGCCGAACCTAACTTATAGCCGAAGCAGAGGCGGAGGCGGAAGCGGAAGCGGAACGCGTCAAGGAAGCGGAACGCGTCAAAGCGGAAGCTGAGGCTGAACTATGCTCTTGTGATTTCTGTGAAGGTAAGCCTGTTGGAACTGATGAATTCCCATACACAGGTTGCATCAAAGAAGTTGAAAAAGACACTGCGCAAGTGGAAAAAGTGGAACAAGACAGTGAAGAGGACAGTGAAGATGATGTTTCTTGCTATTGGAAACAGGGAGCTTTAAAGCATGTTGAGCGCATGCAGGCTGAAATAGACCTTCCTGACAATATGAGTGATCATGACGCTTTTGCGGAGTGGTTGAAAAACTCAGGCTTGGAATTGGACCACGCTCCAAATGAAGACCAACTTACTTACCTAAATCTAATATGGTCCGAGGAAACTGGAGTTACAGAAGAGGGCAACCTTGGTTTTCAGGGGTATTTATGTTTCTTGGACCACGACCTTACCCAAGTTGATGATAAACTGATTGGTGGCTTACAAGAATTGGAAAGCGGCTTTAGTCATCTTGAAATGTGTCAAGAAGTTATTGATATCAACAACAAGCTGAAGCAAGGCTCATTTGATCTAAACACTTGGCTCGATGAAATTAAAGACAGTGATGAAAACTCTAAAGACAGTGAAGAAACCTCTCAAGAACTTCCTGATATCTGTATGTTCTGCGATAAACGCTTTGATTTCCAGTGGACTATCAGAAAGAATCCAAAACTGTATAATTGGTATATCTTTGAAGGACACGACGTTGATGAAGGTGATTTATGCTTTGACTGTTGTGAGAAGCATTACGATGAATGGAAAAAAACCAATTGCCCTGATATTTGAGGGGTGTTGTCATATTTCATCAAGATTGAAAAAAGACATCATGAATACGGCGCATCTGCGACGCTTGTTTTGTTCTTGAACAGAACTATTGAATACAACATTGGAAACATGTTATGAAGTTTCTCAGCATCATGCTGTGCTTCAAACGACACTGTCGTGCCGATGCCCCAATCACTAACACCCTTGATATTTGAGGGAGTGTTGGCATTTTTCATCAAGATTGAAAAAGACATATTGAATACAACATTGGAAACATGTTAGCAAGTTACCCCCAATCACTAACCCCTTCCCCAATTCACCGCGGACCATCACACTATCACGCGCGCGTCATAAAAAAATTTTGAGGGTTCGGATTTAGGGATCGGCCGAGTGCGGGTTACAGCCTCAACTTGAAGTAAAGTTGATGCGGGTTATAGGCTCGCGAAGCCCGATTTATTTGCCTTTGCGGGTTACACCAAACGGTTTTTTTCAGAGAAAAAACGGTAGGACACTCTTTTTACGTCGTTTTTTGAGTTTACGAAAAAAATGACTAAAAAGTGTGTCCTATCTTTTTTCGTTAAAAAGCCAAAAAGAACAAGTTTTGGTGGGTGACGCAGAATGAACCGAGTAATCGACCAAGCACTGAAGTTTATCTACTTCAAAAGCAGCACCATGTTTGCATCACTGATATATAATTCTAGTAAAATTTGATAGTTTTGATAGTCTTTGAATCAGTAAAATTTGAAAACTCCTGCTGCCGGGAATGCGACATTCAGGTAGTTCACGGGGTTTTATAATTGTTTAAAAATGCGTTTACCTTTAGGCATACATCAGAAGGCACCTTCCCGCCTTTCTGCATAAACCAATCTTTAGCTATGATCACAATGCGATCCGCGGTGTAACCTTCCTTGTATTCGCTACTATTCGGTCGCACTGGAGTCGTGCAACGCTTCCTAGTGTACGAGTTCCCTTTCTCGTCGTAATATTCTGGGAAACTCCGACGTTTTTCAATGGGTTTAGTGACACTGTAAGATTTGAGGTTATCATTAGCTCCTTTTTACCATCCTCACGCTGCCACAGTATACCGTCATCTATCAACCAACGCTCCTGCGCCTTCGCCTTTTTGCTGGGGTCACTGGCGTTAAGTTGTTTTTGTATCTTTAAGAAAAATGGGTCGTCGACAGCCGCATCTTGATATTGTTTATCTGTGATCGTGTCGCTTGCTTGCAACGCGATCCGGTCTCTTTTAGCTTGGTCTATTTCTTTCAGGGTTTCTTGATCCTGCGAACTGTCTGTTTCTTTGCTTTCATCATCATTTTCACTAATCGTAGGCATGGCCACCCCCTTCAAAATTTGAATCTCAACGCCCTCGTTAGAGAGTGTTTCTTTTGAGAACGCTTCTGTCAGGTTGGTTTCGCCTACTGCGCCGTGCTGGAGGCTTTCGCCCCACGTGACCATAAACTCGGCCCCGCTGCTGCGCAATCCATTCGTGTCCATCTCACCTAGCTTAATCTGGGAAATGTTCACACAATAAGTTGACATGATAATTGCCATTTCTTCATCTGTGATTTCCTGGGCCAAAGAGTTGCGGCTCAAGCAGTCCGCTACCTCCATTTTAATCCCAGGTCTGTATCTAAGTTCATAATTGTATTCACTCAATCTCATTGCCCATCGAGCTAACTGCCCTGACGAGTGCTTGATATTGGATATGAAGGTCAAGTTTTTGTGATCGGTATCCAGGAACACCTTCACTCCGTCTATGTAAGGCTTGAAGTGTTCTAGACCCATTATCACCGCCAAGAGTTCAAGACGCCTAGCATCGTAACATCTCATTGGCTTTGGAACGCTACG